ATATTGATTATAAAATTATTAATTATTATTACTGAAACATTAATTATATTTTCTGTACACTTTCTTTAAATTTTTCAGTATCTTTCTTCATTTGTGCAGGAAATTTCGAGAAAATAGGTCCGCAGAATCGCATTAACACTGCCGACTTTACTGCAACGTTTGCGTGGAAATTGGCAGACTTATTTTTAATATGCGTGGATGGAATTTTTTATTTTAGATAACTCTAAATCAATTTACACATAATAATTTCAACCTAAACTGAGTTCCAGAGTTTTCACCAACATTTCGGGAGCGCTGAGATTTCAGCTCCCCACTTGTCAAAGGCCATTTAGGCTTCGTTTTAAGCCCGAAAAATTGGCATGACACAGTCGGCCGGCGTCACTTCTTATTTAGGTTATAATGTAGCCTAGAACATTAGGCCTGGGCCTGTACAACTTCAGCAAAGTATCTTATACCTACATATATAACGATCTATAGTTTCATTTTCTTGTTCAATGGTTGTTTTTATTGAGAATTATTAAAAAAAAAAAAAAATGGTACGCCTTCCAACTTCGAAATTCAGTATTAATCGCCAGAGAACATCGTCACACTTTCGCAGAGTAACATCCCAAACATTGCAAGTTGCCCCGAATGATGTAATATCCCAGCATTCTGATTGGTTTACAACTTGCAATGGACTCAACATACCTTTACTCGCCAGCCTGTGTAGTCGGGCGCGCACATGGTTTGGGATTTTACTCTGCGAAATATAGTTTCGTAATTGGAAGGCCTACTACCATAGTTCGATGTTGTTTTGTTGTTACAAATCTTATAGATTAAATTAACCAATTAATTCAATTGTTGCACTTTATTAATTCCACGTTTAAAATTTAATCTTTAAATATTCATTTATATACAATTCAATTTTTATATTATTTCAAAACATGATTAAACAATCATTTTGCTTACTTTCTGCTGATACTTTGTTAAGAACGAAATAAATTGTTTGACAGAGGCCCATTACTAGTTGCCTATGAAATAACTCTGCTTACCGTCTACTACATTCAGTGAGAAACATTCCCAATTCCAGGCTCCTCCTGGTAGACACAGACACCGAGGTTGCCAGACACAAAGTCATTTGACTCTTTGTACGCCGCCGATACGAACAAAAGTAGGCCAGAAGCCGACTGGCTCGTTCAGTAAATAAATGGTAGTAAAGGAGTTCCTTTCTATATTATTTCATTTAATTAGGTTTAAAAATTTGCTGTGAGACCTATTTGTTTGTTTGTTTTTTTGTAAATTTCAAGATGTTGCTCATTGAGACGCATGTTGTTAAACTATATCTGCTCCGTGAAGGTTATCATCAAAGAATATTTTATACCCTTTGTTATCATCAGCCATGTGACTGAAGAAGCGTAATCTTATTTCATAATGTATGAGGTTTAGGTAATTCATTTGGTTTTCAATAAAAGATGTCTGCATTAATACCGGTAGTACTTTGAATATAATCATCCAGATGATGCCTAATTGTATTTATTTACGATCTATTTAGAGTTAAATTTTGATTATTGCTTGATCTGGGCCGTTTACATCGTATGAGTCAATACTGTATACGATCGTTTGAAATTTCGGTACATAGTCTATTTTATGAACAAATACGTTATGGAAACATTCACAATTACAAGGAGGTACAGGTAAGAGTAGCACTCAATAAAATAGTAAAAAATCGTGCAATCCGATGTTTTTATACCAGTTTCCTTCGCTTTGACGGTGATCGCTTATTTACCAAGAATAAGATGAGCGCACATTGACACAGTTTTAGTGTACGACGTCACACTTTAACAGTCTAGGTCATGCTGATTGGTTGATACAGTACATGTAAAATGAATGTAACATGTTTTGCGTACTGCCTGACTGAAAATAATGGGTTGTACAAGTTGTAAATAATTGGGATTTGGAGGGAAACCACCTTCCTGCCACTTACAAAATCTACTCGCGCTATCAAATGACCTTGTCGCACTGAACGCGACAAAGTTGAATTCCTTGTCACACCTTAAAAAATCAGGTCGCAAATGCGACCAAATAACCCTTAATTTCAAGCCCTGGCTTCCCTGTGAAATTCATATTCTTATAGCATATTGGTTTAAATAATATATGAGTGTGGTTCTTGGAAATCAGGATGTCAACCTGCACAAGCAAGCAAATGCATAATTGCATGTCTGTACTACTTTATTATCAATTGTCTCACGGAAGTCAGTGCTGATAGGATTACTATGCGCAGAAAAAATAAAATTAGATGTTTGAAAAGAAAGGTTAATTAACCAGATCTACCGAAAGTGAATTTTTCTCCTAAATAGCTAATTGTAAATTGTGTGTAGGATCAACTCAAAATTCAAGCTGATCAGATCAGATCAGATCTGTATCTGTCTAACATGCAACCAGATAGAAAGAATGTATTGCCATCAAAATAAAATGAAAAACCCCAATACTATAGTACCCTGATTCTCAACCTATGGCTTGCGACCCAAATTTAGGTCGCAAAAAACATTTCTGAGAGATTGCTTCTGACTGAAAATTAGTAAAGGGCATCTCGAAACATAGTGGAAAATACTTCTGCATAGAGGTTCCAACAAAGGACTCAAAAGCTAGAAATTAATGTCAACCCAAAACCTAGAATCAACTCTCATGGTTGCACTGTCGCCAATCTCTCCAAGGAAGATAATTAAAATTAGGCAGGAATATACTCTACCTTAACAAGACGTACCAATTAATAACAACATGTTTAAAGTGATTAGTTGCTTTTTTGCATTTTGAGTTCGTTTGAACCTTTTTACGAGTGGGTGAGGACGTACAAGCTTCTTTTGAAAATTGATATTTTCCTAGTCAGCGTCGCCCAAGTTGACTGTACACTAGTAAAAAATTTGTCATTGTTTTAAAATTTCAAAATTATGAGTGCAACAAATATTCTCCATAGTGGCAGATTCAATGTGGATCCAGCTTCCACCCTCCCATCTATGTCTTTTTAATTATAATAAATGGAGAAAAAAAAAATATTCAAATTTAACCCTGAGAGTGCCATTTCCATCCATCTAGACTGTGCTGTAATCATAAATTTTCTTTCCTCAGCCCCAACCATGGTGGGCCATGAGGTGATATTAACACCCTATCTGTGAAAAGTCCTTCCCGGGCTCCCTCTATTTTGAATTACTGGACCAATCATTCCCCCATATTATAAAATTGAACATTCAGCACACAATATCAAAAGTCTAGTGTACTTTGCTACGTAAATAAAAATCTAAACGATTTTTCACCGCCATTTTGTATTCAACTTAGCCAAGGTTGATGGCTTGCAGGCCTACACATAAAATGGTATGACTTTGACATATTTTGGTATGACAATGCATTGGGTTACCAAAAAATGTACATTCTGAAAGTGGGTCGCCAACTAAAAAAGGTTGAGAAGCAGGGCTATAGTATATTGTATTAATATATCATACAACTTGATGGTAAACAAATTATAAGCAGTGTATGTGAAAAATGCTATAAAAATACAAAAAAAAAAAAAAAAAAAAAAAAAAAAAAAGAAAAGAAAAGAAAAATGTTTTTATAACCTCTTAATTTACCTTGCCTGTACTCATTTTCCCCTTCATATGTTTTTCCTCATCATCACTGTCAGGAAACACTATCTCTTCAAATCCATCAAACTTTGGAATAAGAAATAAAAATTATTAAATATGTTTTTAAAGATTCAAATGTATAATATAGATTCCTTGCATCTTGAAAACATTCCCTAATACCCCCTTCACACTGAATTAGTTTGCACTACGTTCTGGAGAACGGGGTGGAACAGGGACAAATGGGATATGAACGGAATGGACGTAGTAGAGACCGAATACAATCTTAGTACAAACGGTATGAACGGGCAAGGACGGAAATGGTGGTCCAGAACAAATTTGATCGTGTTCTACCCGTTCAAAAATAGGACTGAGTAAGGTCGTACTGCAAACGAGACTGCCGTACTGAAAACGGAATTGCCCTACTGCGAACATGGAATGAACGGATCAAAAACAAGCTGAACGTTGTGCGAACGGGGGGAAAATAGGAGTACGATCCAACACAGATGCTGTTAGGTTCCACCCCGTTCTCAGACAGACCTAACTACATTCCATTATGTCTTCACTGCGTTCTTAAGCCGTGTTAACCAGTTTATACATTTGTGATACGCTGCTATTCAGTTCTAAAAAGTTCTTGCTCAGTTTTTATTCAGATCTACTCCTTTCTACTACATTGTCAGTACGTTCAATCCGTTTTTAGTCAGATCTACTCGTTTCTACTACATTTTAACTACGTCCACCCCATTTGCAGTCGAATCAGCAAAGATTTTGTTATAAATAGTGCAGATTAATGATGCTCTCTTCATTTGGATCTCAACTCACTGGCTGAATTGTTATTGTTATATTATTTTACCATGGTGTGTCAGTGTTTTGACCTTTTTTCTTGCCATGTTGAATCTGTGATTCTGCTTCATCATTTTCAGAACAAGGTGATGAGGTGCCTCACTCCCTAGAGCTTCCACCTCTTTGTCTTTATCAGCAGCAGGAGTAGATGGGCCAGCATCGTCATCAGCAGGAAAATCATCAATGTATTTCTTTGAGGTTCCTCTCCCTTGTCTCTTCTGTTTCCTTGGCATGTTTACTATAACAAATACTGAATCGAAATGAGAACGGGCTGGATATGGGTCGTATTACAGCAGATCGGACTGGAACAGGACCCAGATCCCCGTTCTGAACATGTTAAAGACTGCCTGAGAACTCAGTGCAAATGGGCAAGACTGAGCATGAACTGGTTTGAACGGACACGTCATAGTGCGAACCGTGTAGATACATCCTAGAACGGGTTGAAACTTACTGTGAACGGGGTTAAACGGGTTGAGAATGGATTCGAACTTGTTAAGAACGAACTACTAACGACATTGAGCGTAACGTCTTCCCATTTAAAACGTTGTGCGAACGTTGTACAAACCTTCTGCAATCGTAATGGACTTACAAACTGTGTTGTGTCGTAGTAAAAGCCAAAATTGCACGTTTGAACCCGTCCTTATCCCGTTTCATGAAATTTTCAGAACGGGCAGGAATGTTATTCGAACTAGTTCAGTGTGAAGGGGTATTATTAAATTTTTTAAAATATGTAAAACCATAGAATGTCGGTGGTGAAATCTGAAATGATATTCACAAAACTGATGAATTTCAATTCAATTAAAATTATTTATTTCCATTTATCAAAATACTTTAAGTTGAACTGACAGCGAGACAAAACAGTTACATCAGTAAGTTTTTATTGGTTTATACTGTAGAATCCTACTGAATAATGTATCACAAACCAAAAGAATTTATTTACACCTTAAAAAATATAATATATGATAATCAATTAAAAATAATAACTGTTATATTGCCCTAATTGTAAAGAGGCATTCTAAAGTTACCTTTTTGTCTTCTGACCACTCAGCCATCTCAAAATCGGGCATCAGGTTCTCTGCAGGCTTGTCATCTGGGAAGAGTCCAGTAAGCTCTTGCTCCAAGTGTGGTTGTCCTTTCAGTAATGGCAGTAATAAATCCTTTAACTATAACATACAATACAATGTTGAATGTGCTTCAATGACACTCAAATTCAAGTATACCTAGCTGGGTTTGAGGCCTTTAATTCTGTGGTCTTTTTAATGTGCTCAATGTACGCCAGACTAAATTTAATTGGCGTCCAGACACCTTGGAAACACAAGGTTTGATCTATATCTACCTGTTGATATGTCCTGTTTTCTGTTTCCCCCCAAGTAACAATGGCTTTTAATATCTTCTGAAAGTGACCAGACTGCTTCTGGAAGTGTACTTCTACTTCCCGAAGAAAAAGCCTTGCTTTTGAGAACTCAAGGTGTGACATCAGCTGCAAAATATAATAGAGCAGGAACAATTTTTATTTATACAGAGAAGAAATATTCGATAAATTAAGAAAATACTATTTGAGATTTTTTGCATTAATTGCCTAAATGTGAATGCATTTAGCTTTATTATTACATCCACCAAAAAAAGGGGTGATGTATTCACCTCTGTATGTCTGACTTTTAGAAAGATTAAGCAAAAACTAAGGTATGAATCATCATAAAATTTAGTGGAATGGTACAAACTAATGAAAGAAATAGATGATTAAATTTTGGGGAAAAATGTAATGTTAGATTTATATATTTATACCGAAACAGTCTCTAAGCACTCGAGTTGTGTACTACCAGATAGTATAATACATACTCAAAGTATCAAAATGCACACCATCATGTGGGGATTCAATATTTCAACATTAATTATGTCATCATCAGAATGACTATCTGTTACAGTAACTTGCTTCTCCCCTAAGAGTATTACTGTGCTATAGCTTTCTTACCACACCACACTCCACTGCCTGTTTTGGATCTAGAAATGCTGTAAAATCTTCAATCAGTTCCTCTTGTCCAGCCAACACATTTTTTATACTATCATAAAACTAAAAGTAATCATAAAAAAAATAATTTATGTGACAAAAATCAGATTTATCATACATAATATCCTAAGACTTTTCCTAGTTCATTTCATTTCAAAGTGACTTACACCAACTATGAACAGAATAAAACGTTACGATCTATAAAAATAATAATGAAATATTTTGTTTTATCTTGCACTTGTTTTGTGCCACCCCAACCTTACAGAAGCTAAAACAATGAAAAAAGAAAAGTAAAAAGAAGGAAAAACAGTAAGCAACAAAAAATGTAAACATAAAGGAATGTTTAAATTCACCAAGTGTTGAGGCATAATTGACATTATTTGTAAGTTAATACATGCCACTGCAATATGGAATAATGTCATTGCAAGTAAATTGTATAATCTATGCTGAGACAGAAGCAATAACTCTACTAGTTCAAGACAGCTTGGTTGATATGTTGTAATTAGTTAGAGACATATGGCAGTGCAGTGCCAATCACTTCCTTGACTATAAGTATTCCAATTTTATACTTAATCTCAGATGCACAAGAAGCCAATGGAGACATTTTAGAACTGTGGTTGTGTTTTTATTAACTTTTAAAGTTACAAGCCCAGTAGTAGCAATGTTCTGCAGACTTTGGATTTGCATCAGGAGAAACATGTATAGGTGTAATTTTGCCCTACCTGACGTGGAAATGTACCGAATACTCAGTACAGGCTAGTAATCTGGAGATCGTGGGTTCGAGTCCCACCCGAGAACAACTTGCGATTTTTTTCGCAGTTGTTTCAAATGTACTGAGTATTCGGTACATTTCCATGTCAGGTAGGGCAAAATTACACCTATACTGTCCTATTGTTATGAACTTTGACCATTCAGTTTATAGTTAGTAAACAGTACTCTTATTTAACTCATTTAAACTTGAGAATGACTTCATGATGGAGTAGAAGCATCGTTCCTTAATTAGCGTTATTTTTATTTTAACTATTTATACCAAACGTACTCTAATTAATAATAATAATAATAATAATAATAGCAATAATAATAATAACAATAATAATAATAATAATAACTAGCACTACCTTGGACTTCAGGAGCATATTTTTTTGTGTTATTTTCCCCTTAACATCATTTTCTTAATTGTTCTCTAATTTCTAAATTGTCTAAATTCTCTTTAATTTAGGTTTTAGTAACATAATAATAATAATAATAATAATGGCACCCTTATAGACAGAACATCCTCAATGCGTCTTATAACTACAGCAACAAGCAGTAAATAGCTTTGACTTAATCTATGAATGAACAAGTAGAGTAACATGGCTGTTAATATAACTTTTAATGTCCATCTATAAAATTAAAATTAAGTTGTTTGGGTAAGTACTTTGTCAAAATTTGGCATGGCTAATTACTGTCCTATTGTTATGAACTTTGACCATTCAGTTTAGTTAGTAAGCAGTACTCTTATTTAACTCATTTAAACTTGAGAATGACTTCAAGATGGAGTCGAAGCGTCGTTCTTTAATTAGCGTTATTTTTATTTTAACTATTTATACCAAACGTACTCTCATTATTAATAATAACAATAATAGTAATAATAATAATAACAATAATAATAATAACTAGCACTACCTTGGACTTCAGGAGCATATTTTTTTGTGTTATTTTCCCCTTAACATCATTTTCTTAATTGTTCTCTACTTTCTCAATTGTCTAAGTTCTCTTCAATTTAGGTTTTAGTAACATAATAATAATAATAATAATAATATTAATGGCAGCCTTATAGAGAGAACATCCTCAATACGTCTTATAACTACAGCAACAAGCAGTAAATAGCTTTGACTTAATCTGTGAATGAACAAGTAGAGTAACATGGCTGTTAATATAACTTTTAATGTCCAGCTATAAAATTAAAATAATAAGTTGTTTGGCAATAAGAAAATCACAAATGTTTTGTAAAACAACAAAGTTACCAACTGTCTCACATTGTGAGGAACAGTGCTGCATTTCAAAGTTATTTTGGTTGAAACACACATTTTGCAGAAACACATGCGTGATCATAAATTTGTCACGCAATTATCATGAATTCTGGGGAAAATGTATTTAAATTTGAAGAAATTGGTTTTATCAAAAATATAAAAACGGTCATGCAGTAACTTGAGTCATTAGCCAGTATTTACGTGAATACATAATTCATGGACACGTTACTAAAAATGATCAGTATATGCCAATATTTTTGTGTTTGTTAAAGTAATGGAATGTTTGTGTACTTAGTTCAGTTAGTGCTCAACTTAAACATAATGTACATTGAAACTCAAATCGTATGTGGCTTTATTAAAAATACTTTTGTTTATGTACCGTACCCGGTATTGTCAACAAACTCCATGAAATCGTCTTAGAACAGCTTAAAATGCTCAGATTGTAGTAGTGCCAGGGGCCCCTGGACATTGGTTTATCTGTGGAGGTGCGCAGGGCGGGACACACTACTCCAAAAATTACTCGCGCCCCGCCCCCTCCGCGGCGCCCACAAAAAAATCATGGTCAAATTGTACATAAAAATCACCTTTTTTTGTGAGTAAGCGCCCCTCAACTGATTATCAAGCCCCACTTCCAACCACCATACTATTACAGCAGCACACTCCTAACCACTATGCTGTTAGCAGCACTCCTAACCACCATGTTACTACAGCAACACTCCTAACCACTATGCTGTTAGCCCCACTTCCAACCACCATACTATTACAGCAGCACACTCCTAACAACCATGTTACTACAGCAACACTCCTAACCACTAAACTACATTAGCAGCACACTCCTAGCAACCATGCTATTACAGCAACACTCCTAATCACTATACTGTTAGCAGCACTTCCAACCACCATACTATTACAGCAGCACTGTACTAACCACCATGCTATTACAGCAACACTCCTAATCACTATACTACGTTAGCAGCACTTCCAACCACCATACTATTACAGCAGCACACTCCTAACAACCATGCTACTACAGCAACACTCCTAACCACTAAACTACATTAGCAGCACACTCCCAACTGCCATGCTACTACAGCAGCACTTCTAAACACCATGCTACTACAGGGACGTAGCCAGGATTTTGAAAGGGGGGGGGGAGCCGTTATGCGAATTACGTATGACCCCGGCGGGGTCAAGGGGGAGAATCCCCCTGTGAAGTAGCGCACTCTGAACGTTCTTAGGATTGTTTGAGAGGATAAAGTGAAAATTGCAATAGACGCATTATACATAAGCGCAAAAATAATATAATAAATCAACAATGGCAGATCCAGGAATTCGAAAGAGAGGTGAACCAGGGAGGGACTTTCATAGACCGAGGAACCACCCACCTCAGCCCCACCATTGTTGGGGCTGAGGTAAGAAAATTTATGATTACGGCATCTCTAGATGGCCGGAAATTACACTCTCGCACTTCAATTTGAATATACTCTCGCACTTTAATTTGAATATATTTTTCTTTTTTTTTTTCTTAAAAAAATGAAGGGGGGGGGGCCTTGAATCCACCTCTGCTCAAAACATTCTTTATCCAGAATAGTCATAATCACGAAAAAGGG